CTACGAATTTTTTTTCCCTCAATATAGTCAAAATCTCCCAGTCGAGTCCAGTACTCTACTGAACAACCACAGACCCCAGTGTGAGTAACGTAGACATTTGGCACTGATTTATTCATCATCAATAGAGTACCTGAGATGGCCTAGCTTCTCGTGCATTTAGGGCAACAGCGTAAGGGCTGAGTGGGAGGGGGTGGGTGGGGGAAGGGGTCGAGGAGGGTCAGTGACTTTCTGATGAAACATTCTTTGTCTCCGACTTGCAAGGCACTGCAAATATTGCTTACCAAAGGCACTCTTTGCACAGCCTCCCCCCCAAACAAAACAATTAACAAATACAAAAAACCCTCCAGCTGTGCACCAAGCAAAGAATACACCTGCCATGATACTGCGTACTGCGTGTCGTAAGAGGCGACAAAAGGTGCATAGGTCTGGTCGCCCGAAAAGTGCCATTTTGCGAAGGGCCAGTAAAAAAACGGAAAGTTATAGAAACATGATAAACACACATTATTATTTTTTCCATCCTGTGAGATGGAGGAGCTGTTGTATCAGCAGGAACAATGAAGGACAGTGGACAAAGCCGAAAGGACTCTTCTGACTCGAAACCTTCTCTGTCGAACAAGTCTCTCCGGATTACATCGTGGAATGTTCGCACCATGTATGAAGCAGGAAAGAGTTCTCAAGTGGCACAAGAGATGAAGATATAAAGTCTGCACACACTAGGAGTCAGCGAAACCCACTGGATACAGTCTGAACAGAAGCAGCTTAGCTCGGGGGAACAAATTAAATATTATTGTATTCTGGGATGGAAGACAAGCACCATGCGGAGGGAGTGGGAATTATTCTGAGTAAGTATGCACGGAAGTCACTTTAAGGATAGGAACCACAGGATCATCATGGTTTCATTCACTACGAGAAATAAGAGCTTCAACCAGAACATAATTCAGATCTATGCCCTAACAAATGAAGCCTCGGATGAAGACAAAGATGCTTATTACAGTCGGCGCCAGGGGGTCATCGACAACCTACCAAGGAAGGATGTCAGCATCATAATGGGAGATGCCAATGCCAAGACTGGTCAGGACAACGTAGGTTATGAGGGAATCACGAGACAACATGGTTTGGAACAAACGAATGAGAATGGTGAGCGATTGGCAAATATATGTGCTTTCAACAGTTTTGTCATTGCATGGGGGCTCTGTTTTTCCCAACAAGAGGATCAAAAAGGCTGCATGGTTATCACCGGGTGGAGTGACAGAGAACCAGATCGATCTTTAGCGTATCTCACGTAGGTTCAGACGTTCACTGGAAGATGTCATAGTACAGAGAGGGGCAGACGTTGGATCGGATCATCATCTGCTGTTTGCAAAACTCAAGCTTTGTCTCAAAAAGCACGGAACCAAAACAGGAACCAAAAGAACGAAGTTCCAAGTAAGTCTCTTAGATGGACACAAGAAAGAATAGTTTCAACTGCAGTTGAGGAACAGATTTCAACCCTTGGCGGATCTTGGTGAGGAGGACATGGAGGTGGAGATGTACAGGACCAAGGTCAAAGAAGTCTTTACTTCAACATGTTAAGAAGAACTCGGAGCGAAGAAATGGGAGCACAAGGAATGGATTAGCCAACGGAAATTGGATTTGGTTAGAACTAGAAGACCATTAAAAGCAAAGACAAATGCAAGTAGAACAAGGGGACCAAAAGCGGACGCATCGGAGCAGCACAGAACAACAGCTAAAGATGTAAAGGAATCACACACACAAAAAAAGATAAGGAGGAATTCATGAACAGGCTGGCAGAAAGGGCAGAGGGGGCAGCAGCAGGAGGGAACATGCAATTCCTTTACCATAATACAAAGACTCTTTCTGGAAAATATGGGAAACCAGACGTAACAGTAAAGGGCCAAGAGGGGAAAACCATTTTTGGAAAGGAAGCTCAGTCAAGACGATGGGTAGAGCATTTCAACAGTCTCCTAAACAGACCACCACCAAGTAACCCGTCAAACATCCTGCCAGCAAGAAATGAGTGACCAATCTGCTGTGATGCTCCATCAAAAAGAGGTTATGGATGCCATTAAGAAGCTAAACAACGGTAAAGCCACCTGAGGCCGTAAAAGCAGATGCCAATGTGACGACAGACTTCCTTCTCCCGTTGTTTACCAGGATCTGGAATGAGAGCAAGTTCCCAAAGGATTGGAAAGAAGGACACCTTGTAAAACTTCCTTAAAAAGGGGGATCTTAGCAATTGCAGCAACAACCGAGGAATCACTCTTCTCCGAATACCAGATAAGGTCAGAATCATTCTGGAGAGAATCAAGTCTGCAACGGATCCAAGACGTCGAGATGAACACTCTGGTTTTCGCAGAAATCGGTCAACCACGGACCAGATTGCCACGCTGCGGATCATTGTGGAACAGTCCCTGGAGTGGAACTCCCAGTTGATCGTCAACTCTCTTGACTATGAGAACGCCTTTGACAGTATAGACTGAGCAACGCTGTGGAAGATACTGAGACATCACGGAATCCCACAGAAGTTAGTTAACCTCATAAGGAGCATGTACAAAGGCACAAGTTGCAGGGTTATACATGATGGCCAGTTCAAGCTTTGACATTGAGACCGGTGTGAGACAAGGATGTTTACTATAACCTTTCCTCTTTATCTTGGCAATCGACTGGTTGATGAAGGAAACCACCAGAGGACACAGAAAACGGCATACAGTGGACCCCATGGACACAGTTGAACGATCTAGATTTTGCAGATGACTTGGCGCTTCTGTCACACATTCAGGAACAGAAGCAAGCAAAGGTCACAATTTTAAACAGCCTATCAGTCTGTTGGATTGAGGATCCACCCCGGAAAGTCAAAAATCCTAAGGACAGATGCACTACGAAAGGAGCAGGTCACAATAGAGGTAAAAACACTAGAAGACGTCGAATCATTCTGCTATCTTGGGAGTATAATTGACAGAGAGAGAGGAACTGGCGCTGTAATGAAGTCCCGAATTGGAAAGGCACAGATTGCATCTATTTCTTTGAACAGGATTTGGCGAGGACCAGGGATATCTCACTACGAACAAAGCTGAGGATTTCAACTCAAATGTGAAGTCAATCCTGTTGTATGGATGTGAAGCATGGGATGCATCTCAGACGTGCATAAAGAGGCTCCAGGTTTTCTAGAACAAGTGTCTGATGAAGCTACTGAGGATCAGATGGTCAGACAGGATCACCAAAGAGGAAGTACGCGTATTAAAAAGAACGAGACGGAGCCAAATCAGAGATGAGGTGAGAAGAAGGCGTTGGCGATGGATTGGACACACTTTCAGGAAGTCAAGCACATCTGCACAACAAGGAAAATGTTGGATTGGAACCCACAAGGTAAACGATCAAGGGAGGACGACGTGGAACCTGGAGAAGAGTCACGACGGAAAAAGATGTATAGAAAAATGGGGAGACACGGAGTGACACCAAGCGACTCCCCCAGGTTACGGAAAGGTGAAAAGTATTTGTTCATGGCCTATGTCCTGACCCAGGGTGAAAAAGGCAATGATGATGATGATGATCGTGCTCTTTTTTTTTGGGGTGTATAATATGATATGGCCTGGGCAAAACACGCGAAATAAAGACTACAGTGTAGTGTAATTTAGTGCAGTAGGTCTACTTGCCCCCCAGTCTCACACAGCCCAAACACGTTGTTGCTCACACTTACAGTACTGATAGCATTGGAAAAAATAAAAATAAATTCAAGTTTTCAAAATAATTTTTCTTATCACAATTATGTTTGACGATCATGTTGTCATCAACTTACAAAATATAGATATAGTTTGCTACAACAATTGAAACCAAACTCTCTTTTTTTATTCCCCCCCCCCCCCCCCCCCATCCCCTCTCTCTCTCTCACTCTCTCTCTCTCTCTCTCTCTCTCTCTCTCTCTCTCTCTTCTCTCTCTCTCTCTCTCTCTCTCTCTCTCTCTCTCTCTCCCTCTCTCTCTCTCTCTCCTCACTCACGCAATTCATTTCTCCGTCCCAGCCCTCGATACCACACTGTCACTGTAAAGGGATGTGACTGCTCATTTAGGACCCTCATTATGCCCCCCGGGTTACATCCCCTCTTTGTCGTTACTCGTTCGTTGCCAAATCGTTGCTCGTCCGTAGTTCGTTGTCGAAATTGGCTACATATGATACACCTCTACATAATATCAAGTGCCAGATCTGAGTCATCAGCGAGCATTGTTTGACATTCATTCCATTTCCCTAGGTTGCTCTTTGAAAAGCTATATTATCCAGATCTTTCTCCTTCGTCCATTTGTTTAGATTTTCATATTTTAAGTCAGTTGCTCTGGGTCTTATAGCCCACTTAAAATCATACCTGCCCCGTTTCCCTTCAGTTTTGCCAGTGAGAGTGAGAACTAGATACATCATAATTATTCAAGGTTCTCGTGTGTTCTCTATATACTATTGTCCATCCAATTTTTCATAAGTTGTTTTTTTTTAGATCTAAGGGGTAGTAGAAACAGTTACAATTGAGAAAAAGAAATCTTCTTCGTTTTTAGTCGTTTCAGTCGTACGTCGTTCTGTTAGACTTAGATTGATATACTATGCATTGTCAATGTAACATACCGTAGGTCCTAGAAAAGATTGCGAACTACTTATATCTATTCATCTATGTATCCGTCTGTCTGTCTGTCTATATTATCTATTTAATATAATTTATCTATCACCCCAAGGGCCAAACGACAGACTGTGAGTGTGAGTGGTGGCGTGCTCTGTTGTGATTTGCTCCTTCTTTTCTGTCAAACATCACAATTTCCTTCCAACTGAAGATGTGTAATATGTCTCGCGCGCTCATATGACCTTATGTAGTTGCGAGCGCCGTAAGACACTTACAAAGTCGAGAACGAGGAAGAAGAAGAACTTCAAAATAATAATAATAATAATTTCATGTATGGGTAATTTTATTTTCGGAGATATATGCAGCAGTAGTACTTTTTAACATTACCGGAAGTAATATTGAGCACCATGACGACGCCAAACCCAAGGGCACATGAAAGCTCTTTTGATTGGTTCCTTGCTTACAATATGACCAATTAACGCCCGTGTAACAGTAGGTTGCCGTTGCTAATTGTTTAGCTAGCAACGTAACATCAAGGATTCGTGTCAAGTCTGAAGCTGGTTGAAGCTGAGCTTTTAAAGGGGCTTTCTCTCTACAAAAACATAAAGTGAGTACTGCATAGCAATATATATTGAAAACTGAACATATTTTACTTGTTAGGATTTTCCTTTGGTTGCTTTCAGACTGTGGATTCTTAATTTTTGAGGTACAATTTAACTGTCAACAGTACTTAGGGTGTTCACTGACAGCAAGGTTCCGCCATTACATTATAGATCTAGATCTCTAAGCCTATTTACAGCATTTATACTTCACAGTAGCATCCGCTGGAATGGTAATGACCGTTAATCGTTTCTATTCCTTATCATTATAAACCCCCTTTTATATGTGTGTAGCTTAAGTATTGATATAACATTGTAACTTTTTCTTTTGTAAATGCAGCAAAGACAAAGACAGACTGTAAACATAATTTATTATAATTATTAGATCTAGATTTCTAGATCTAGACCTAGACCTAGACCAAGATCTAGATCTAGATCTAGTATCATCATATTATTTGAGCTCAACATTGCAGCTGTGAGTGCTGTTTCATGCAAGCACTTATGCTATACGGTGTATTGAATATCTTGTTAGAAGTGTTAGATTGGCTGTACCCAATGCTAAAACCATGCCAAATGATTTAGGCTCAAGCGAAATATTTTCATGACAGTCATGAAATGTCAGTCTACTGATTGTCCTGAATCAAATGTCAAAAGTTTTACTGAAAAGGCAGTCATTCAACATTTGGCTGGAATTTTTTTTCATTATGCAACTTTAAAACAAAGATCTAGATCTAGATTTAGATCTAGTGCTCAAAATATGTCTATTGTCCTAGAAAAGTATGTTTTGTACTTTTATGTATCTTAAAAGTTACCCTACGTATGGGCAAATGAAAAATGAAATGTCTTCCATGAATTAACTGCATGTCGAAATATTGTCTGTCATTTTGTTGTTGTTGGCAGCTTAACTTATTATTGTGTATTCCAATGAATGCGGCCATTTTTGTCTCATTTTTAGAATACTTTGCCATATTCTGCATCTCATTCAAACTCATAATCATACAATCAACTGTGCAATCAATTGTCGACTGTACAATTTTTGTTGTTGTATTCCACTTATCTTTTATATTCAGGCATCTGATTCTCTTATTACAAATCGCTTACTTTTCCAAGTTTCATCCTTGCTCTTTTAATTACCATTTTCCACATCACTGTATGTATACCCTTTAAATTGTATTTCTGGGCTGGTCTGTTAATGAAACAAATTCTAATCTCCTCTGATATGTGCCCTCTCAAGCAGAGATGGCAACTGAAGTGAGACAAGTGACAAGGCATCAGCCCCCAGATTGGTTCACTGAGTGTTACACACAGTCTACAAATGCTGAGCGACAGCGGTCGGCGTCTCATCAGGTATGCACAAAAGACTTTAGCTGTTTTTCTTTTCTTATTTTGTGTAAGGTAATGGGTTAATTTAAATACCTAGTGCTCTCTTGTACATTCAGCGTAAGAGAAGGTGGCTCTCAATTTTTATCGATACATACTGGTGGAGGATTCTTGGAAACTCTTTTCAGTTATTATTTGATAGTATTGAAGACATTTTAAGTTATTGTTCCAAATATCTGATCATCCATTTATTCAAAGTATAAAAGGGAAGAAAATAAACCAAGTAACATATATTTACTTTGATTTTATGCTATTTTTCTTTACCGTCCTGCTTTTTCCTTGTATTACATGATTATTTTTTTGGTAGTCGGCTCTTCAGTTTTAATTCTCACCAGTACAATAGCCATTAACAGTGAGTGATCTTTCTGTATGAGTGCATCATGTACACAACTTTTTGAAGGCATTTTAATGCTTACATATGGCTTTTGAAAAACTGTTGTGGTTCTTATCTAAGTCCTTGATCAAAATCTCTCCGAGATCTTTAAAAAGAATCGTTCTACATTTTAATTATTAACTCATATGTTATCAAAATTATAGTAGTTATCTATGCAACTTGTTCTTAAAAAAGAATTCCATTGACAAACTTTAAGAAATAATGCATGTTTTCGTTACAGTGTGTCTCATTTTATTTGATTCAGTAGTTTTTATTACCTTTTGAGATTATTTTTTACCGTCTATATTAAATATTATTAAATCATTTTTCAGGTACGGCAGGAGTCCCGATTCCTGCGCAATGAGACAGATATCCAGACCAAATGGGACCAATATTCCAATGATGTAAGGCTGGCTGACCGCGTGGACCACATCAGGAAGTGGAAAGAGACTCTTGAGAGAACTCTAGGACAGCTGGATCAAGAGATTGCCGACTTGTCTGAAGCAAAGGAGGAGACAGAGAATGCCCTAGAACGGATGAACCTCCCAACCGATGTTGCTATTGAGTGTTTGACATTGAGAGAGGGCCGCAAGGGCATCGATGTTGTACAGGATGAGCCAGAGAATCAGCTTCACAAGGTTTGTCACAACACTTGTGTATGCACTGAAGCCTTATGATAGGTACTAAATATTGCGATTTATATAAGGATGTGTATAAGCATTAAAGGCAAAATTTTAATGAAATAAAGCTTATAAATCTACATCAATTCAGTACCCACATGCAATATGGGAGGGCATGGCAGTCTTATGAAGATGCAAAGAAAAAGATTTTCTTTTGATTAGAAGTGGCACATTAAACTATACGGAGGATGTAAATATCTTTTTAGTATGGTATCACCCAGTAACTATCTTTGATAATAACTTTAAAGGGAATTATTTTTCTTTGGAACCTGCATTGCTGAATTATCAGTTAAAATGGTAGAGCACTGTTGAAATTTCAAAGTTACCATGAAGGTGCAAGTGTTTTATGCAGGATTAGCACAAATTCCTTCAGGGTATAGTTAGTTTGAAAATCAGAAAAAGAAAAAAATTATGTTATTTGATTGTGTTAGGATAGAGTAGAAAGACCAGGGCATGGCTGGACCTGATTGTGGCCAATTCATATAACTGCCCTTATCATTTGTTTAACATGTCGTTTCTTCTCAGAGAGACTTTATTTTAGTTCATCAAACCTTTCAAATTTTTTTTTTTTTGGCTCTACTCTTTGAAGATCGGGCCAGTTTTGACACATATTATTTCAAGCAACCAGTATTTGGCTTTTGATAGTTTGAGGTAGGTTGTTTTGATCCTTTGTGATTCGATGATTTGGGAAGAGTTTTATATGGGGATAGTACAAATAGTTTTTATATCCATCATCTGTTTGACATTTGCTTAAAATAGATTTGTTTGATAATTTTCATCGGAGTAATTTAATTACATGCAACTGAGTATGCAACAATAAGGGCAAAGTCCAGTAGTTTTTTTTATCTGAGTGTGGTCAATAGAGATCATAGTACAAAACAGTTATTAATCATCCCACATCTATTTTCTATAAAGTAAACAGTTGCTACAGACTGCTAAATTAAAATATTAATTTTTAAAATATAAAGCTGCGGGAGGAGACTGAACCTGCAAAAAAAAAACCAAAAAAAAAAAACCAGAGAGGAAAAGAAGCTCAAATAAGGAAAAAAGAAAACAAAAAAGTCTAGGGTCAAAAGGTTGGAAAAGGATAAATGCAAAAAATAGGATGTGGTGAAAAGAAAGGTAATGACACAGATGAGAATAAAGTCTTTTGTGCCTGAGGTAAGGGCAGCTCATATGAGACTTCACAGAGAGTGGAGACCCGAGATGTGCTTAGTAGGTCAAGTAAGTTCTGAATGTAAGCAATGAGTAGACTTTTACTGGAAAAAGCATAAGTAGAGTTGCAGAGACACAAAATGACATGATTACCAATGTGACACTCAAGAATCTGTTGAGAGCAGTTGATCAGTTTCCTAAGCAATTTTATAGCTTTTTGTCGATGGCCTATTTTGTGAGTTATGCGCACCAGAAAAGAAAACAGAGATAGAGAGTGAGGGAGAGAGAGAGATATTTTTTTAAAGAGAGAGAGAGGGTGGGGGGGGGGGGGGGTTTACAGGGAGACAGAGAGAGAGAGGGAAAAGGAGTGAAAGTGGTCGATGGAACATAAAAAGAGAGTTGAACTGTGATATTAAAAAGTTAAGTATAATATCTTGTCATAGTCATGTCTCACTCTTCCCACCAGAAATTATGAGGCTAAGAATTTAAATGTCTATTTGGGGGAAGTAATTTATAATAATAGAAATAGATAGAAATTATAACAAAATGCCAAACAGCACACTGGAACCATAGTATGTTTGAGCGTTTGAATATCGGGATAAAAACATTTAATTTGAGTCTACTGTTCATTTGCTGAAGACTTGACTGTCAAGCTACAACTAAGGCCAGCAATGTATGGGGACACACCAAGTAGCGTACATAATATATATTTTGTCTCGCCCTCCAATCTTCGCTGCTCGTGTGACCAGGGGCGAAGGCTGACTTGTTTGACAGGGTAATCAAAGTGAAATGGAACCAGATAGGGCCTGGAGATATCACACTCACACAAGTCACAAGAATCTTGCTGGCACTGGAGGCGGCAACTCTGAATTGTGAATGAAAACAAATCCGGAATTCATGTTGTATGCTTGTTCAACCGCTAAAATAATCAGGAAAGTATTTTATTAAATATTTATTCTTACTAACCTTAAATTTAACTTTAGATTTGAACACACAAACACCAAGGAAAGAAGCAGAGATGTCAGCACTACAATGGCATGTTATACCAGACAGCCGAAACACTTTGGTAGAGCATGCCAATTATTAATTTTTTATTTCACATTTGGCTGTTTTTTGTCTAGCTTTCGCGGCCAGGAGCCGGTGTCATAATCGAGGTCACGATCTGATTATAGGAAGTTAAAAAGTCGAGGAAAAAAACCAAACACTAGTAGTGTAGTAGCAGGAGTCAAAGGATTATTAGGAGTTAGTTCCCCTCACATCTGTGAGGTAGACTCGACCAGTGTAATAGTTCGCATACCTAATCAGCGCATCTGGGTGCTTATAACTATGGCCCGAAAGGGGTGAACAGGGTATATGCGACAATGAAACAGTTCTGACTGCTATGCACATGTTCCCTTTAACTCTATTGGTTGACTCTTCCAGCCTCACTTTAAGCTTACTTGTTCAAAGCTTGTAACTGCTTATGGAGTGGCCCGATAGGGGCGAACAGGCTATTTCTGTGGCAATGAAACGGTTTTGAAGGTTAGGTATAGTCTATTGTTCATTGGTGATTATGAACGTCTTTTTACATTTAATTTATGAGGTTTACGTCCATGGGTGAATTTGACTGCGACAATGTTTCAAAATTAGGAAGGGAAGCAGTGATTATTTGATTATATAGACGCTTCGCCTCTGCGTGTGACATGAATTTGCATATAATGACAGTGGGAACTCTTATGCTTAGATAATAATGATACATAGGTAGATAATGAATTGTAATGAAGCACAAGTAAGTGTGTGGTTTGGGTTTTGCATATGTGTATATATTGTGTTAGCATGTAAAGGAAAAGAAGGAAGAGGGCTTGGGTAGGGTTATGTAGTAGGTAAAAAGAAAGGAGACGAGTCACTAGCTGAATCCCTTACGTGCTTCAACTCAAGAACAAAATGACTGGTGTAGCAAGGTTTGATTGTTGGGTCACCACCAGTTCGTTATCTTTATTCAAGGGCTGGTGAACTTCTCTTCTCTCTCTTTTACTTAAATTTGAAATTGCAAAAATTGTTATTCCAGACAATTTTAATGGATGGAATGAATAAAGAGGAGAGGAAATAATGCTTATTGAGAATTGTCTCATTAATCTGGAGCTGTCATTATTTCAGCTGGTACAATATATTATGGATTTATTTGTATTTATTCATTATTTTTCAACCAAGTTTGAATCACTCTTAGTTCTTTGTAAAATCATAGATGTTTATAAATTGGTTGTTTTGTTAAGATATCTAACACCTTCCTCGCTTTGTGTACTTGTTAGTGATGATAGCGTTGTAAGTGTTGTAAAACAGAAATTATGGCCATGTTCAGGTCTCATCGATGGTCATGCCAAGGGAGCTCAGCCATGCTGAGGGTCTTAAATTAGATGGCCATGGTTAGGGAACCTGGCTACAGTTATATACTTAAAATTAAGTGACAAATTGGCTTCTCCTGATGAATAGACGCTGCTTTTTTTCCTCTAGCATCTCTGAGACATTTAGCTTGGCCACACATTGACGGTTTTAGTCAAGCAGAGCAAGGTCTAAACAAAACCATAGTCTCACAATTGAAAGGAATTCACTTGTGGCTGTTGTTGGTCCCCCTTATTTCCATTATAAAGGAATTCTTAAGCCAGTGATATCACAAGAACTAATTAAGGAAACCAGCAGCTTACAAAGAAAAAAGTAGAATGAGTGAACTTTAGGGAGAATGTTTTACAGTTAGTAAAACATTCTGCCAAAATGGTGCCATTATTTTGCATACTTGCAAATACTCAAACTTGGTAATTAAAGCAAACTGTCTTTTAGAGATGTAATTTGGTACCCTCCCCAACAAGATTTTTAAGGTCTATTTCTTTTTCATTGTTTTTGACCAAGGTAATAAGCCTAACTATTCTGCTTATTCATTTTCAGGAGGTGGAAGTTATTGATGGAATCAAAAAGTCGCTGCAGCAGAGAATCTCTGACTCCTTCGAGCAACTGTGTTTGCTGCAAGAGGCCAGACAACAGGTGCAGGCAGATCTGCAGGACAAGAACATCGCTTTAGGTATTGACATTGACCAGTACAACCTTTCAGATAGGTCAGCAAACATAAGCTACAAACCAGATGCCCTGAGAGTGCCTAAAGGGTAAGTAAAACCTCAATTCTTGTTGTTCTTAAATTGAATTGGAAATTAATTTCTTATAAAATAGACTGCAAAGTGAAAATGTTTTTAAAAGTTATTTGACCGTATTCAAAACTTTTGTCTTGTTTTTTTAGGAAAATAGTCATTTACTTCATTTCTTTAGAAAACTGTTTGGGAAAAAGGAAGTTAATGCTGGAAATTGCCTCACCTTGCCAGGTACAGTAGTATTAGTTTCAAGCAAACTTAAAACATTATAGGATTTGTTGCATTTTGTCATGAAACTTGTTATTTAGAAAAAGAATTTCTACCTAATGTTTCTTAAGAAGATATTATAATCAGCATAGTAGGTGTAAATCAAAAGTACAATGAATGCACTTCATGAATTTGAATTAATGTTAGGGTTACAACCATTCTGATATTAGTCTTCACTGTGTTACATAGTTTTCTCTTAGACAACGTTTTTCAAAGAATGAAAATTAAACATTTTCACTTGGAATATTTTGCAGGAGCACAACCCCTCAGCAATGGGAGGACTTCAGCCGCTACAACAAGGAGCGCGCCGAGGCTGAGATGAAATCCTCCAATCGCTTGCGTGAACAGATCCACCACACCCTTCAGCAGACTGCCAATGACTTGGAGGCTCAGAAACAGGCCACAGAGTATGCCTTCCGTAAGAGGATCCATGAGTTTGAACGTGCCAAGGATGAGCTCGAATGGCAGAAGAAGAACGTAAGTTGCAAAAGAGGGTCACCTTATCTTTCACATCAATTTACAGATGGACTGCTCAGTGTAAGATTCCATCATATGTCACTTTTCACAATGACCCGTGGCGAAGTCTTACCCAAAACTGTCAAAATATTTATTATTTAGTGAATCTGGCTGGTCTCAACAACAGGTGAGAACATGGGGCTTCCCAATTTACGAAAACAAGTAGATCTGTTTGTGAATTTGAACGCATATTGCAACAGTTATGAAAAAGTTTAATCAAATGTTGTTCATAGAAATTATAATTATACTTTTCTTTTCAAAATATTTAGAACACTTATTTATAGCACGATTTGCAGTTGAATTCAAGTATTTTGAACTTTATTTTCAAGAGTGGTGAAATGAGGAGTTTTACTAATGATAAAAGATGATCACCAATAAGACTTGAAAAGAAATATACTCAGAAAATAAAACCCGTCAGATACTTGTTCATGACTTAGAATGTATCGTCAAGCGAATTAATTAAAATTTTCATATTTAATCTTGGATTTCTTCTATAAGCATTGCTTATTCCTGATTTTTCAGACTGAGGGTGAGATCGCAGAGCTGGAGAACGACATCCGTGGCATCGAGGAGGCCATCAGAAACAAGATCCGGCCGACAAAGAAGGCGGAGACAAGACTGGAGAACAGAACCTACAGGCCGAATGTAGAGCTGTGCCGCGATGCTCCGCAGTATGGGCTGGTGGATGAAGTCAAGCAGCTGTACGCATCCAAGCATGCCCTTGAGGAGAAACTCAAGCAGTCGCAGTAAGTGAACATGGAATACAGATTCAGTTGCCCATAGACGTATTGGCAGTCTCTTTGTTTGCTTTAAATGTAGGTGTTTTGAAGCCCCTATCAACACTATTTAGATCATTTAGGAGGCAGGCAAACTATCCTGCCTCTCAGGGCCAACTGGAGCTGAGAGAAATACAACATCCCTGTAGGAAGACTGAGACCCTCAATAAAATTTCTCTCCCCTCAGGAATTAAACTAGGGTCTCCTTCATGAAACAGCGGAGCGCCTAACTACTACATCGCATATGTTGATGCTATGCCTCTCTTTTGGAGCATATCAACTAAGTCAAGATCTGAACGGAGAGTAGTAGAAATAACCAGTCTTTTTCCTCAATGTTTACCGCCCAAGCAAAGTTGCATCATGCATACTGCTTTAAGATCATCTATCTACAATAATATAGATAATACAGTTTAACTTACAGAGATATTGCTTCAAAAATAATTGATGGGAAAGGAAGGAGGGCAGGGGGAGGGCAGAATGCAAACACTGGAGCCTTGTATTCAGAATTCTTAAAGGGAATAGCTAATGAGTCACAAATAATGGGACGCTGTCCCTGAAAAAGTGTCAGAAAACATCAGCCCCATTAACTGTCTAGATATCGTTCTCAGTATAAAAAAAAAGTACAACTGCTACCCATAGTATCTGTAGCTCAACTTTGTTCTCTCAGTATTTGGGTACAAATGATTTGGTAGAAATCTTCTTTTTGTTTTCAAAATATTATATCAGTCCTTCAGCAAGGTCTGCTGGGAGGCCCATATTCTTTACTATGCAGTTGCATGTTAATGTTGTTTTCTGTTTTGTTTTAGCGTCACTAACAACTACAGTATAACACGGATATGTTGAGCACAGAAGACTCAAAATCACACATCCGTTGAACTGTGACTGCGCTCTCGTTTTTTTTTCTTTTTTCTTTTTGTGAGAAAATTACGCAAAGCTCAAATACAAACGCGGAATACTCAAACTAATTACGCTGCCATAGAGGTCTAAAGTCAGTGTCCTTTGAGGTGCACTTGAGACAAATAATAATTTAAAATTTTTTTTTTTTAAAACGCAAAAAGGCAGGATCTGTAAAATACCACCTTCCCCCCTCCACCGAAGCAGCACACACACACACACACACACACACACACACACACACACACACACACACACACACACACACACACACACACACACACACATGCACACACACGCACACACACACACACACACACACATGACATACACATCAAGGAGTACCCCATTTTTCATTTCACCATGACTTCAACTTCAAACTAGAAACAAAGCTTAACAACAGCAAACACTTCCAGTTTACCCCGCTACTGCTCCTCATCACCATCACTCTCATCACTGGCCCTGGCAGACGGGGGGGGGGGGGGGGGGGGGGGGGGGGAATGGATTGACTACCTGTACCAACTCATTATCATTCAAATGGCCCTACAGTAGCAATTTTTGTTGCTTGCCTTGATTCTCTGACACAACCGATGCCATGTACACTGTTCATGTATCTCTTGAATTACCGAGGCCGGTCCTGATGAATTCGAGCTATCTGTGTTATACTGTACTTAGAGTTTCATTATAACAGTCCATCTCTTTTCAACAAGTTGAAAATAAATTGCAATGAGTTTAGTTACTTTTTATGGATTTTACCTTTTCATTCCCTTTTGCTCGCAGGTAAATTATGCATACTCCTTTTCCCTAATCACTAATAAGTGTTTTGGAGGAAGAAGCTTCTAACTTGTTCTTCTTCCTTCTATGTCTGCTATCTCTCTTGTCTGTTGCTTTTACAGACAGGTAGGTTAAGTTGGAATTTTGATTGGTCTGTTTTTTTATCTTTTCACATGTGACTAATACTCCTAGCAAAATATAGTTGTTTCATAGTGATTGGTAAACTTTGCAGTTCAACTCAAGCTTGTATTGTAGGTGGTTGGTGGATGCTCTGGTGTTGTTTGTTCCTTCTTTCCAATCAAATATCTGCTTTCCTTCTCTCTCCTCTTTCCTTTCTTTGTATGTTACTCTCTTGTAGCAGTATCTCTAATCTTTGGCTTGTGGGCTATTTGTGTTGCAAAATGCAGTAAAACTCTTAACTAAAATTAAGCTTGCGCTGAATACAGTACCACACCTGCTCTAACAGCCACCTGTATAAAACAATTACCTGTACGAACAGCCATGTCCCATTTCCTTCCTTGATTATTTCAAAAACTTTATAATGACACTGTGTGGGACGGCCATGTGACTATTATAGCCACTTCTCTTTTCAACAACAGGTGGCGGTCTCAGACTGTTTGGACTGTAGTTTTATACAATTTTGGTCTGCTTCTCTGTAAATGGAAGTCAAGTGACCACAACCTGCTTTCTTCTCCTCAGGCATGCCTTGGATGGTCTACAGAAGACTCTCCACCGCCTCAATGATGACATTGCCCTCAAGGCCAACTCTCTGCGTCTGGACAATCAGTGCATGGGCATTCGTGAGCGGTTGAACCCAGCACCCCAGACAAAGATTGAGAAGAATCTCAACCTCACCGGTATTGAGAGGATGAAGTCATCCATCTTGGCATAATCACAAGCAATCTGAATTTTTCTTTTTTATTGAACTAATGATTCTCCAAAATATTCTACGGTGATGAATTTTTAGTCCTATGTCCGATGAAGACATAAAGAGTATTATGATGTGTTTCTGCTACAAATTCACATTTTTTATGATAAAAATAAGAGGCTGTTCCTGAAAAAAACCACATTGTGTTGAGAGAGTAACTCTGAGCCTCTTTCCTTATTTCTCGCTTTTGTGTGAATATGTTCAGGGAAAAATAAGATGTTTCGAGATCAGGATCTGCTACAGTAAACAGCAGTTCTGTTGTGGTTTTTCTCTTCTGCTGCAATGTTTTCTCTGTGCTTTGCGTCTGTCCATAAACTCTGTGATCATTTTGCTCATACTTGGCTATGTGCACAACTCCAAACAGTATTTAGTTTTTGTGGTTCTTTATTTCGTAATGCTTGTATTTTTCGAACCAAAATATTTGTTTCTATAGAGAATTATTGAGTGCTATGTTCTCTTTTGCCCATGGTGTAAATAAATACAGTCTTATAAAGTATTATAACTCTGTAAGAATGTGGTGTACCGAGGATGAGACGTTGAGTCTGAGAGAATTGTGTATTTGTGTGGCACTCTTTTTCCTAGATAGAAGAATAAAACATCAAATGACATTCTGTAAACCTTTTCCTGTTCATAAGTTGTTATTTTTTTTAAAGATCTGTTATGATATACTGAAGAAATCCAATTCCTGCGCGTCTGCGTTTGAACGAATGTTGAACATTATATTGCTAAGATTTTGGAGCAGGTCTTTACAATTTGTGTTTCACAGACCCTACACTAATAGTATAATATGCCTTTGGTATTGAAAAATTAAGGGGGAGACAAAATTTGTAGCTTGACATTTGACCAATAAAGATTTGCCCCACATACTTTCTTCTTCCTTTTTTCTTGTCAGTAAAAAATATGTAGTGAAAAAACCAACTGTGTCTCTTAGCTCTATCAATCACATTCTGTTTCACTGGCATCTGTGATGTAGTGGTTTGTGCTTTACTGCAGCTTGCAGGAGACCCGAGTTTTGTTTCTGAGTAGGGAGAAACTTTTATAGAGTATCTCGATCTTTCTGCTAGGACATTGGGTCCCTCTCAGCTGGGGTTGCTCTGCTAAAATAAAATGGTCTATATGGTATTGATGGGGGTGTAAAAACACCTCTGTGATTAAAAATAAGCAAAAGAATCCCTCTTCTTGCCTCTACTGCTCCATCTTAGACATCTGAAACATAGACAACAACTTATGAATGAATGTATAGCCATTTTCCCTGCCTAAGTGCCGGATTCTTCTTTTTCTTCTCTTTATCTGAGCCGAGTGTTTTGCCTGTGAGGTGGGTTATTTGAGTTCAGCATTTTAGGGCACTTGCAACTCAATTGGGTCATATAGGTGCTGAAGATTAGAGGTGTTACAGCCTAACCACAAGGCGACTGACGCCATTGAAGATGCTGAAGGTGAATCACTAACTACACAGACAACAATAAACACGAAAAAATGGAGGAGAGATAAGGACGATAGACGTTTGTGAGAAGAAAATAAGAGCACTCTTCAACCACCCATTAGTGTTCTGTAGAGTTTTAACTTATTATAAACAAATAGCATAAAATCTAGCATACTTAGCAAACACGCATGTATCGAGCAGATTTTCAGGCCCTAATTTTACTCCCTGGTTATATGTATATATATATAAGGAAAAAAATAAAGCAGGTATTTTTACGCCCCAATCGACCCAACTTGGATCTTTTAGGGGACTGGCTTTCGACCCTGCCTGTCCCGGGCCAAGAGGGATACATCCTAGCAGAAAGACCGAAGTACTCGATAAAAATGTTTTCCCCACTTGGACCCACACTTCGATCTTTCAAGTTTGTGATCTGCTGTGCCACATCTACCATCATTTGATCCATCAGGTTTTGTAAACTGGACTTTCTATTGTTCTTTTTCTACTTCGCCCTTGAGCTGCCTTTTCCTTTTTACTGATGAGAATAATATACCGCCGCTAGGTCTTCGTTTCCTACCCATTATTATTCTTAAAAACATTTTTGGGTGGTTAAAAAGAAGGAACAACAACAACAAAACATAACAAGAAAATAACCAGCGACTGGAAGGCGTCATTGGACAGCCTTACTTCTCTCGTTCCCCAGCGTTTTTCTGACTTATCTTGCTTGTGTTTTCCATTCAAAATTTGTTTGTCAGCAACCCAAGGTGCTTTTTTCCTCAAACTAAACGAGAACGATAAGATAAGGCACAATGTGACAGGCGTCACGCCTACTTGACAAACAATTTGAACTCTATAACCACAACATTGTGATATCTCCGCAGAATGAGGAGAGGTGAGGAATGGCATGCGAACATACGCCATTTCTTTTTCTTTTTTTCTTTTTTAAAAAGAATCCTTCATCAGGTTTGAAATTGCAGCTAGCATGCGTCACTGCTTTGTTCATTCTTTTGTTTATGTTGGGCGTCGCCTATATGCCTATATACGCCTATAATTATAGTTAGGTCAGAACAGGTACCTGAGCTGCTGACAGCCGAAAGCTCCACCGAACTTAGTAAGGAGATCATCAGGAGAGAATACATTGCTGTTTTGGGGATCTTCCTCTATACAGCTGTAATGACGCACATAACCCTGTCACCGATGTGAGGTCAATTATTGTCTTTGATGTCAACCATCAAGACTCACTCCAGCTGTTGTCATTTCTCTACCACCAAATCCAATGACGTGCTTTCTCGACAGTTTTTTGTAGAGGTTTTGTCATGGTATTCTCTTTCCTTGAACCAAGCCCAGCTACTCTCATCTAGTCCTATTATTGATCCGTGGCAATGGCTACTGCGCTACGAGATGTTTATAGCAGCCTAAAACAATTAAAAATGTCAAAGTTTGACAACAGATAAAAAAAAATTGAATCAGATTGAGCATTCCTGGCTTTTAAAAAATAACAAAGCATAGACCTAGATATTCTGTGAGGAGCAACATATTTCCATTCTTCCAACTTTTTCATTTAAAGTGGTTTCCTTTTCCTTCTATTCCTGGCTTTAATATTCTGCCTATTAGTGCTTGGTGCCTGACAGCTGACTATCACTTAACTTTCTGAAAAGGAATTTGTTTTTTGTGTTGGTCCTATTTATTTTTAGCACGGCAATGGAAGAAATGGGCGCAGGCGCAAATGGCTTAAGACTTATTAAAAGTGGTGCGGTTTGACTTGACAAAGAGTAGGGGCCTATAGAGAATATGAAAGGTTTACAATGGGATCTAAGTGTCTTATGTCACCATACTCTCTTTTTAGTTTTAGTAAGTGTTTTAAGGCACTTGCAACACAATAAGGTCATATAAGGACCGAAGATTAGAGGTGTTACAAGAGAGTAACAACCTCAGAAAAAAAGGAGGGGAGATAATGACGATAGATGTTTGATGGGAAAGAAGAAGCAAACCCCACCAGAGCACCCGCCAACCACCCACCCATAATCTCTTTAATACGATAATTAATACCCTGTGAAAAAGAAAATTGGAGAATCTGGAAAGACGTCCAGATCTCAAAATATAAAGAGAAAATATTGAAGTCAACAGATGCTGATGATACAGTTTCAATAATTGTAATTTCAGAAAAAAGACCTTAATTTGTTAAAGGTATCGTGGTGACTGACTGAAAGTGAACGAAAGAAAAAACCCTCCAGAATGCATGATAATATCATCTCATCTGTGTCTTTAATTGGAAAGAAAAGCAGAACGTCCGTTTGGTTATCTCACAAGCGAAGGTGAGAAGATAGAACAAGTTCAAAAGTTTAAATATATAATATATGTATGTGTCACGACGCAGTGGAATCAGGCTCTCGCTAATTTTGGGGCAAATGGAGTTATTGGTATCCTCTAAAGCTTGTCCATTTGCCTTGCTTTAGATGAAAACAATATCTATTTATCTTGCATACAAGTCAAAATGTTGGAGATTGAAGGAATTGGGGTGGCCTGGTTTCAGAGGTAAAAGTAATGAGAAAATGGCCGCCAAAGTTTATTTATTTCCTAAGCTTGAGAGCCCATGGAAACTGAACTGAAAATTTACATCTCTTACGCCTTAAATCAACTTTTTCAGTACAGCCCTCACAGAAATGTGTTCTTTAAAGGGCATGAAAGGTGTTGAGCCAAAAAAGAAAAATTATACGAAAATTCCTAAACCAGTGGAAAAATGTCAGTTTCTCCACTTTCACTATTTTGACGAGCGACTGATTTCATCACGTTGCCTTACATATTATACTTGAATTTTTGAATAGTTGAATGTAGAAGTGGGGTATTAGGAAGACGGGGTGCTCCATGCTTCCTCGCCCCTCTTCATATGGGTCCGCTTCAGTGTGGGTAGGCTGATTGTCTCTTTCATCCGCTGGTTGTTGTAGCGTCTGATGGGGTCACGAAAGCTGCTCCTCCTGCCTTCCCCAGGCTGTACTCCTTTCTCATCACAATCTCCTTCGTGAAGGATTCCTCTTCACGGCTGCTGGCTAGGTGGTATCGGGCAAGGGCTATTACAGTTGGAGAATCGAGGGTAAGCATTCTCTCTATGTTTGCGGAGCCTACTAGCTTATCTACTCTTTCATTTCCCTTGACTCCTGCATGTCCTGGGCAGAAGATCCACTGAAGGCGTCTGATTTGGCTGTCTTGGATTGTCTTAAATCAATCTTCATACAGGCTGCCGGTCAGGATCTTATCCAGGGTGCTCTTTGAGTCTGCAAGAAAGGTAGCCTGCTGGTTTCCATTAGTCCGAAGCCATTTAAGAGCCTCAGTGATGGCCATGCACATGCTTCATGTAGTGAGGCCCGTTGCTCCAGATGCTTCCTGGATTGTTACTCCTTGGCAAGAAGCCGTGTAAGCCCAGCCTGATTTGATCCCACGCTAAACAGAGCCATCTGTGATGATGATTTAATCCCCTCTGCAGTTCTCTTCAATTAAGGTCTAGATTTCAGCATGCGTTGCTACTTCAGGCCATTCACGACATCCACGCTTCAATGTTGCAATCACCGGAGGGAATCTGTCTTTCACCTCGTCTGCAAGCTGTACCTATGTCTCCTCTCGTCTGATTATGGCCATAGTGAGACCAATTATTCAATGGTTTGCATTGCCTGGGTAATCCACTCCGTGCTCCGTTTGAGTTTTGGGTTAGTCTGACGACCTACGTTGTCATGAAGAGGATGCTGTGGATCTGCACAGACTTTCAGATAAGCTTTGACCTGTGCGAGCTTGTGTCTTTTTTTCATGCCGGGCAGACCTAGCCCATATCGTATTGCAGCAGCTGATGTATCTTTTGTGCAGCCGAGTATGACTCTCATACATTCGTTTTGGATCACGTCCAGCCTTCTAAGTTGCGCCTTGGACAGTGTCAGCAGACCAAAACCATAACCTACTTTAGACAAGACAAGCATGTCAAAGAGTAAGACCAAATTTCTCCCTGGCATCTTGTCTTTCGCCATCACATTCACTGCATTCAGCCTTTTTCTTGCCTTTGTGATGATTTTCGATACGTTCTCCTTTCCTAACAAACACTATTCCGGGGTAGCGCAGTATTTATTCTCTTTTGATTGTCTGGCCTTTGATGTAGACATCTGGCATCTGGGATTTCACTGCTCGATTGTTGAGGGAGCACAAAAGTGCTGTCGCTTTTCCAGGATTGATTTTGCCATTATTTGCTTCTACCATGCTCCAATTCTATCAAGCACTTTCTGTACACTGCTGGCAATCACATGTCTGTATTTCCCTTTGCGTTATGCGAGACCATCATCCGCAAAGCTTAGTGTCCTGCCATGGCCTTCCAATTGGTTAGAAGTGATTTCTACTGTATACACGTTAAACAAAACAGGTGATAGGGCAGAGCCTTGATGTAAGCCATGTGTGATCGTGCATGCG